TGACATCCTTGCCCCTCCCCCAACTAGGACTTGACAGTACTAATTTTAATGGTCAGAAAAAAAAAAATCTTCCCATAGCTGAGTATGGTAGCACACACCTCTAGTCCCAGCACTCAGGAGGCAGAGGCAGACAGATCTCTGTGAAATCAAGGCCAACTTAGTCTACCTAGTGAGTTTCAGGATAGCTGTGGCTATAGGGAGTCCTTGTCTCAAAACAAAAAACAGAACAAAACAAAACAAAACAAAAAACCTCCCCCATATAATTCTAACCATATGGAAGGGTGAATCCCCAATGAAAATCCCCCTGCTAGATTTTGCTCTTGCACAGATTTGGCAACCATCTCAGAGCTTCTGAAACAGGTTTTTAAAAATCTATCTCAGGCTGGAAGAATGGCTCCGTGGTTAAGAGCACTGGCTGCTCTTGCAGAGGACCCAAGTTTGGTTCCTAGCACCCACATGGCAGCTAACAATGGTCTGTAACTCCATTTCCAGGTGATAACAATGCCCCTTCTGGTCTCCACGGGCACTGTATACACAGGTGTACTTACATACATGCAAGCAAATCACTTATACACATAAAATAAAAATAAATAAAATATTTAAAAAAAAATCTATCTCTATGTTACTCAAACTCCAAGAGGGAGGGCTCCCTTGGAGAGCAAGGCTCTTGCAACATCCAAATGGAAGAAACCTGACTGTGAAACTGATGGGTAAGAGCCTCAGAGGACAGTTGGAGGAGCCTGGAGGAGAGCTGTCATTCCTGCCCAGGCACTGTCTGTGTGGACTGTCTCCAGGGCTGTCCCTGACACTTCCCCGGAGACCACATAGAAAAGCTGGATCATTCTTTGGAGCCGCCTCCTTATAGCAGAGCGTCCAGTACATTTCTCCTTGAGAGAGTAGTAGCCCAACGTACCATGCCTTTAGTCAGAGTTGGGATGAATTTATGACTTTATCACAGGCAGTACTGGCAGGGATGTACAAGTTGAAGATCCCTTCTCTAGATTTATAGACACTCTCCTAAATGTGCAGCCAGGAAAACTCAAGGAGAAAACTATCCAGACAAGGTGAGTCAGAACCTATCACATGTAATTCAATCCCACAGTAATGATTCTAAGAACTTGAAACAAATTTAAGATGCACATATACTTCTGTCAGCATTCCAACTAATAGTGAAATGGTAGCAGCAAAATGTAAAACACTGGGGAGTAAATTAACTAGCTGTGTAGGATACATGAACTACAAACCACGAGGCTAGATTCACCATCATCTAAAACCTCTGGCCGTATGTACTAGGATTCTGGGATGAGCCAGGAATTGTGCTGGGTACTTGGACACAGCAGTGACTAAAGGTGAAGGAAAACAAGCAGCGGATGAAAGAGCACATGAACTGTGCTCCCGCAATTCCATCCCGTGGCATATGACCAACGGAAACACAGACATATGCATACCAGAAGACGCCAGCAATATTACAGCAGCACAGGGTGGTACCCCGTCCAAAATGCTTGGGACCAGCAGTCTGGAGGGTTTCAAGTCTCTTCAGATGGTGGAATATCTGCAGTAACGTGGTATCTTAGAGACAGGATCCATATCTAACATGAAACTCTTATGCATCCTGAATACTGTATGTAGCCTGAGGTTATTTTGTGTAATGTTTTTAATAATTTTGCTTGTAAGACAAAATTTCATGGTTTAATATTTTCTACTTGTAGTGGCATCATATTGGTAAGAAATTTTGTGTTTTGGAGCAGTTCAGAATTCCAGACTAAGGACGCTCAACTGGGAGTGTTGGTAATAACTCCAAACCTGAGGCAACCCCAAAATCTAACCACAGTAAAATAAATGTGACCTATTCTTAGAATGTGGGAAATATTGATGAGGGAAATGGTGCAACCTGCCAAGTAGTGGACGCTACCTGGTGATAATCCATTGTGTGTCTCCACAGAGAAACTTGCACAGATTTGTAGAGAAGCTGCCAATAGCTCAGGAACAGAAAATCTGTAGACTCAAGGCACTTCCTTTGACAAGCAGGCCAAACATCTCCAGACCACTAGGCTAGGGTCTGTAATGGCTTCTGGCCCACGGTGAATGTGTGAAAGGTCAAAGAGGGTTCTCTACCTCTCCCTTCACACTCTTTCCAAACCCATCTTTGCTTTTAAGACATTTGTCAACAGACAACAGTCTCTTTCTCTCATATATGCATGTTGACTTCTTTCCAGGGAACTATGCATCTCGGAGTTGATTTTACTCACAAACAGAATAAATGAACAATTACTGCTATGTATAACAGATGTACCTCACAAGAATAGGTAAGTGAGAGAAGACAAACAAAAAAGACTGCATACCATATGGCTCCCCGGGTAAAATTAATATATGTAAGCATATATTTTAAATATAAACCAGATCAACTACTGTCCTGCTCCAAATGCTCCAATAGCTACTCACTGTGCTTAGAATAAAGTCCAATGGGACTATGACAATTGGCCCCTTATCTTGTTTTACTTAAACTAATCTGGTATAGATGGGTGAGGTAGGTATGAGGAAAAAGGAATCCAGAACCAACTGACTAATCAACTTCCTTCCTTCCTTCCTTCCTTCCTTCCTTCCTTCCTTCCTCCCTCCCTCCCTCCCTTCCTTCCTTCCTCCCTCCCTCTCTTCCTCTTTCTGTGGGGCTAGGGATTGAATCCAGGACCTTGAGCATGCTAGGCAACTGCTTTACCATGTAGCTGTACCTCCAGCCCAGAACTCTCTATTTCTTCAGCTAGCACATGAATATGTTTACTTTCTGATAATTCATTAGATGTACACTTGTGATTAGTATATCTTACTGTACACAAATATAGCAAAATATTTAATTTATACACTTATAAATGTGTATAAATGCTAGATATGCATAATTCTAAGTATCACAAGTATAAATTCTAATAACACCATCACAAAATGTGTGTTTAACATTTTTATATATGTGATATTTATATACACAAAAAAACTTTTATATTAAAATTAGGAGCTAATAGGAAACAAAAAATTTTATTTTATTTAAAATTTTTAAATTTTTTTAAATATTTTATTATATGTATGAGTGTACTCCCTGCATGTAGGTAGGTGCACCTGTGTAGTGCAATGCCCACATAGAGTAGAAGAGGGTGTCAGATCCCCTGGAACTGGAGGTACAGCCTGACTGTTGCTTCCCCATGCTGCTGTTCCCTACTCAGCTTCCCTGTAACTGGACACAGCTCGCCCCTTCCATCTGAAATGCTTTTGGGCACCTGGGAATGACCCTTGCCTACTTGCTCCCCATGGCCCTGGCTCAGGTCTTTGCTGGCCTCCCCACCTTATGGACCTCCTGGGCTTAGTCTTTAGTCTCCATTCTTTCCTGTCTTTATGATCTTCCTACGGGAACTTGGCCAGTCTGTGGCTTTCAATTCCAGCTGTGTGCTGATGACTCTCAAATACTCATCTCTCGTCCCTACACTTATCATGCCACTAAGGCTGCCGTGCAGGAATCTCAAAATTACCTGCCCTAATTTCCCTGACTTCCTTCCTTCCAAAACTGACCTTGTTCCCACACAACTTCTTTCGTATCTCGTGAACTGAACAACAACTATTAACCTTGTTGGTTATGCCATCAACAACAACCAAGCCATCTTTTATCATTTTCCCTTTTTCACATCCAACACCAGCAAAGCTTGTTAGTTCTTTCTTTGAAATATATCCACAATTCAGCCACCTCTTCTCTAGTATACCAGTCTCAGCCACTGCTCCCCACAACCTGTGATAATCGCAAAAAAAACAAAAAAACAAAAAACAACTGGCCTTCCATCTGCTGTGCATGCCCACCCCAAAGACAGAGTCTTCATGCAGCAGAGCACACCTTTAAAAACACAAACCAGATCACTGCTCTGTTTCACTTACTCTGTGTGGCGCTCACAGTACAGTCTAAAAGGTTTGTCACTATATGCTCCGTCCACCTCCTTTCACCTTACCCCTCACTCACTGTCTCACTTAGCTCTGGTTTCTTTGCCACTCATACCATCCCATGCTCACCTTTGATAGCTGCTGTCCTGAACCCACCCCCTGACTTCTACATGAGTCCCCACTTTCTCACTCAAGTCTCTGTTCAATGTGACTTTACCTGCCTTACCAGACAGGGTTCTCTGTATCTCTATCTCCCCCCCACCAGCCTCTGTATTGCCTTCCCTGGTTCTTTACTATCTCTATGCCTTTGTTCCTGTTTTTGTTTTTGTTTTTAATTTTATGTGCATGAGTGTATTGCCTGCAAATATGTAAGTGAACCTGTGTTGTGCAATGCCCGCAGAAATCAGAAGAACCTGTCAGATCCCCTGGAACTGGAGTTATGGATGGTTGTTAGTCATCATGTGAGTGTTGAGAACTAAACCCAGGTCCTCTGCAAGAGCAGCCCATGCTCTTAACTGCTGAGCCATCTCTCCAGCTCCTCTTTGTCCCTGCTTAAAACCACATTGCTGCCTTAGTTTACTAGTCTACTCCATGAGATAGTAAGCTCTGTAGGAACAGAAAAGAATGTAGAGTTATCTCTCAGAATCCACAGGGGATTGACTCCTGTGGATGCTCAAGTCTCTTACAGAAAAGGACATAGTATTTGTATGTAACCTCCACACGTTTTTATGTGCTTTAAATCACCTCCAGATTACCTCCAATACCTTATATAGCATAAATGATACTGTTTAAAGAATGACAACAAAAAGTCTGCACATATTTAGTACAGATGATTTTTTTTCTACTATTTTATATCTGTGGTTGGTTAAATCTACCAACATGCCAGCTGTGGACCCAGAGGGACCACCATGCCTATGGATGTAGGATCATGGATGAGAGGAAAGGCAGATGAGGGCAGGTCATGAGACCACACTGAGAGATGAGCAAACCTCTTGTCATGACTAGCTCTTTCTACTTATGGCTAGGAGGTACCAACATTTCCATAAGGAAGACAAAGAAACAAAAAGAAAATGAGCAAATCATACCGTTTTCCTCGTGGCAGAGGCTGTTGGTAAAGACAGGAGAGTCAGGCACCCGAGCCAGGGAGGGGCAGGGAGCAGAGCTCCAGGACAACAGGCTTCCTCTTGTGCTGTTGCCGTTGTGGCTCCCAAGTCTCATGAGCCAGTGATCAGACAAAGAGGAGCTGGTGGAGCCTGCAGAAAAAGCACAGGAGGGGGCTGGACCCAGTTCATCACCGTGGGCGGCCTGGGGTTGAGGGAAAGTCCCACCTCCAGGTTCCCAGAACCACCCTATCCCTTGGCCCTGGACTAACAGAATCGGAGGGGAAATTCAGAAAGAAAGGTGAATGGCTAGAGGAAAAACCTGCAGTGAGACAACAACAGGACCACACTTACATGTTTAGTGAGAGGACCAGGAAAAAAAAGACCGTTCCTTGGTGTATATTAAAATGCTTTCCTTGAAGTTACTTGCCATCAACTTCAGCTTCCTAAATATGACTTATTTTTCTAGAACCAGAGGATTTTAGTGCTCTTGGCAAGAGCCATAGCCAGAGTAACAACAATTTATCCCTAGGACCCACAGCACCAGATCCCACAGGCCAACATACAGGGAACATACCCTAAGCTCAATGTGCAGCAAACATACCCTAAGTTCAGTCAAGCCAAATCTTTGTAATGGGCATTAAGGATCCCCACCCTCTGGCAGTAAGAAAATCTGGCCTTCTCTAATATGGAAAGTGGTGTTTATTATTAGCTGGTTCCTTTTTTTTTTTTTTTTTTTTTTTGAGATGGGTCTTACTGTGTCGCCCAGGTTAGCCCAGAACTCATGATCCTCCTGCCTCAGTCTATCTTGTGCTGGGGTGACAGGCATATGACACCATGCCTAGCTCTAAGTGTTTTACGCTTTTTTCAAAGTCTATCTTCTATAAATGGAAGGCAGGCTTGTGTTAGTTTTGATTCAGACCTAATGAGGGCTCTTGATTTTATCTGGCTATTTTCCAATAATGATTAGGAGAAAATATGATTAAAAGTGTGTGTGTGTGTGTCTGTGTGTGTCTGTGTGTGTGTGTGTGCGCGCACGCTCATGCATACAGCACAGTGCACATGTGGACACACAGAAGCCAGAGAACTTGCAGAAGTCAGTTCTTTCCTCCCAGCATGTGCATTCTGGGGATCAAGCTCAGACTGTTAGGCTTAGTAGCAAGTATCTTTACCCACTGAGCCATTTCGCCTGCCCAGAACATCCAAATTCTTCAAGTGATCTCCAAACCCCACACCCTCCTAGGGCACCCACCTCTCATGGAGCTGCTGGCCGACCAGGGAGGGATGCTATTCCTCTTCTGATAGAACAGGATGTAAGCGCCCCTGGTGTTGACCTCATCCTCTCGAAGGGGCTCCACCGTGCTATCATCGTAGCTGTACCACTGGCCATCCAGGGAGTTCCGGCAATAGGCTGCAAAGGTTCAAACCCCAAGTTCAAGACTTAACTTAAGGCTCCGAGGGTGTTTCCCACTAGCAGAGCTCAAAAATGTGCATGCTTAGAATAAAATAACCAAAAGTTCCATTTTTAGCCAAAATGGATTTCTGTGGAATTAAAAAAAAAAAAAAAAAGTCAACAGTTGGGGCTGGAGAGATGGCTCAGTGGATAAGAACACTGTTCTTGCAGAAGACCTGGGTTCGAATCCCAGCATCCACGTGGCAGCTAACAACTATCCATAACTCCAGTTCCAGGGGATCTGACAGTCTATTCTGTCCTCCGTGGGCATTGCATGACAAGGGTGCATTGACCTACTGCAGGCAATACACACATACACATAAAATTTTTTTTTTAAAGTCAACAGTTGGGGCGGGATAGATGGCTCAGCAGTTAACACTGACTGTTCTTACAGAAGACCTGGTTTCGAATCCCAGCACCCAAGTGGCAGCTAACAACTGTCCATAACTCCAGTTCCAGGGGATCTGACAGTCTCTTCTGTCCTCCGTGGGCACTGCACGACAGGGGTGTACTTACCTACATGTAGGCATAACACTCATACACGTAATAATAAAATTAATAAATAAATTTTTTTGATTCTTTTTTTTTCCAGAAGAAGCATTTCATTTCAGCTTTAACATACTCAATAACAGTTTCCAGAGCAAAGATACATTTCTTTCAAAAGTCGATATAAAATTTTTAGGTTTGCTGTTGAATTAATACAGTTATACAATATTGACTTCAGTATAAGCCCTGTAAGATATTGCTTCTTACAGACTCATTCTTTTGCTGATAACACTGAGATGTTGGCGCATGCATCTCTCATCTGTATGTATCTGATTATTACTAGTCATAATCAGTTGCACTCAGATACTTGGTACCTGTGTATGTCTATAAAGTCACTGGGTAGATTTCAATGATAATGTTTATCACCTCTACTAATTAACATAATGTAAATTTTTATGCTTCCTCCTCAAATATAATTTTTTAAAATTTGTTGATTTGTGTATGTGTGTGTATATCACACAGAACATCCCAAACCATCTGATTCAACTATACAACCACTTCCAAGATGGCATCCTTCCATATCCTCCCTCCCCTCACTAGAGCCCTTATACTCTGTTATCCCTGCTACTGTCTGCTGTGTTGTTGGCACCCCCAGCCCTTCCCCACTACTTGTCCATCTGGTGAATCTAGTCAGCTTATCTA